GTTGAGTGTTGCTTTGACGGTAGCTGTCAGTCTTGCCTGGTCCCTGCTCACAGAAGGCTCCTGACCTTTGCTGATGAGGTCCTGGGAATCTGCTCCCTGTAAGGGGAGGCTGGGCTGCCTTCCAAAGATAGGGATGCTTGGACACAGTCAGGCAGCAAGGCCTTCAGGTTCAGAGCCTCCCTGCTGGGCAGGGCCCTGTGCATCCATCTGCTGGTTTGCTGGGGCCAGCGACACCCGGCAGGGGGCTGCCTCCTTCTGTCCTGGCCGACCCGCTCTGGCCTGCTGAGTGAGCTCTAGGCCACGTGCGTGTACATGTGTGGGGGATGTGCAGTCTTTGATCTCAAAGGGACAGAGTCACTGGTCAAGTAGAGCCCATGGAGGACTTCAGCTCCCCTCTGCTGCTGGCCACAGTCACTCTCACATAGGTCACCGCGACTGACTCGCCAGATGGCATGTGGAACGCAGAGCTGTTTGCATGTCCAGTTCTTCCTTGAGCTGGATCCCAGAGTGGAACTACTAGTCCAACTGACACGGACATCTTTGAGGCCCTGGATGCTTTTTATGCTTTTTATTTGTAGAAGATAGTCCCAGATGCATTCCATGCTCCCACAGTGAGTGATAGGAGGGACCCTTTCCCCCACCCCCACAGGCTGGGGGCCTAAAGGGCAACCTTGGCTATTTCCTCCACAGGCACCCTGGAAGCCTGACCTTAGCACAATTAATAAGCAATATGAGGCCCCAGGCTATGCCTCCTGGGCCCACAAGCTTGGTCATTGAGAAAAGGCAAAAATAAAACAAAACCAAACCAAGAAAAACCCCTAAGGACAGTAGGGCCCAGTGAGGCACTGGCCTCACAGCTGGCAGGTACCCTGAGACACCTGTGGAGGGGCATGGGCAGGCCCTTCCATCCGGTGAGCTCCATTTGCCCAAGTAAGGAGGGAAGGAGGGAAGGAGCTCGAGCTGAGCAGTTGAGAGGCCTTTCCTGGCCCCACCACCGGAACCTTCCTATAATTGTTTAGGTAACAGTGATTCTGTGTATTTTCATGAGGCTAAATAGCCCTTGTAGCAGCCCCTTAACAGCTCCTGGAGCAATTCCCAGCATCGCCATGGTGACTGGTTCTGGCACTGCCTCTGCAGATGTGCCAGCCTTGCACTGGGTCTTTTTTTTTTTTTTTAAGATTTATTTTATTGATCTTTATTTTTCAGTTTGATAACAGAGAGACAGAGAAAGAGAGAAAGGGAAAGTGAGAAAGCAAGTCACCACATCCGGGGCTCAAACTGTGGTTGGCCATGTGGGAGTCCAGCGCCCCTAACCACCATGCCACCTGCCGGCCCTGCACTGGGTCTTAAATAAAACCCCAGACAGCTAAGGGGTTAGCTTACAGGAGACCAGCATCCACCCCTGCAGTTCAGGAGCGTAAGTTCCTGTCCATCCACAGAGCCTTGACCAACTTGTCTTAGGCCCAAGTCCTCTGTCCCTGTGTAGGCCCCAGGAAGAGGGGCTCCACTCTGTGGGTATTGCCAGTCTAGAGGGAGGACAAGTGGTCCACCCCTCACTAGCCTGGGATCTGGTACCCCAGCCCTGCCCCTGCTGGCCTTGTGACTTGGACCAGGTTCTCAGTGGCTTATCATCCCTACATCTGGAGAGGCACTGAGGGCCCCAGAGGTGATGCCTGGCACAGAGGGCTTCTCTGAGGGGTGCGAGGTGTGGTGCTAGAAGTGGTCTGTGTTTCCCTGTGAAGTTCAGTGGTGACAATGTGTGTGGCACATTGCTGGGCCAGGGAATTGGTACTGTCCCAGTTCCTTGGCCTCTAGTCCAGCTTCCCCTCCCCTTATGTCTCCATCCCCAAACAGTAAACCCACCCCCTCCTTGAGCTGCTGCCACTACTCCAGGTGGCCTTCCCTGACACCTCTTTCAGGATGTCTGCACTGCAAGCACACACAGACTTATACACACACAGAAAACTACATACTTACACAGACACACACATTCACAGGTACACACAGATCGTATCTACCTTATCCAATCTGTAGATTTTAAACAGGGGCCATTTATTACACAGGATTATTGAGCTGTAACAAGAGTGACCAGAAGGTGGAAGGAGACTCCTGTGGTTCTGTAAACTGAAGGAGGGTACCTGGCACTGAAGGTGGAGCTATGCCTCCTGGGTGGGAAGAAGTTCGCTGAGCTGCAGTCAGAGATGGTGGGAGGCAGTGGACAAGCAGGAAGTAGCTCTCCTGGGGCTTGGCGCAGTGGGTGGGGGCTC